TTCCTCGTCTACCTTTTTCATTATCACAACATCCAACTTAAATAGATTATCTACATGAACGAACTAATTCTTCGCAATGATGTAACTTTTCACAAATAATTAATACCCTTTCTTGTATAACAAGTCACGTCTCTTACAAATGCACCCATTGAGTTTACACATACTTAAGACTCCCCCTTAATTAAGTTTCGGTCTTACACTAATAATCTTATTTTTGTTCTTCACAACTTCGTGTTCAAACTTTCAACTTTGTACCTTCGCTTTCTTCACGTTCTGCAACTTCTTCTCCTTTGTCATTGTTGCTTCATCTTTTTTGCTCTTTCTTTGGTTTTAATCTTCTTTGATATCAATTTGTGCCACGCGATTTTTGAACTATCACCTTGTTTTTTTTCACTGTAATTCCTTTTATCTTCTATTGACTATGACTACGGTCATTTCTAACCCGGTCTTCCTGGTTTTCCGAACCTTCACCTAGGTCTACTTTGCCTTTGTTTGTTTGGTTTTATATAACCATCAACTTGGCCTAAACCGTAGTCTCTTTGGTTTCTCAATATCATCTAGCAAAAGTTTTATCTTGAATTTTCTTAAGCGAAATCCTTACGCATCACTTTCATAACCAACTTCCTTTTTCTTTTACAGTTGGGAATGGAAACTCTGTCCATTCTCCTTCTCAGCCCTCTATATGTTTTCCTTGATTTTTCTTCTAGAAATCTTTGCAGATTTTTGCTTTTACTTGTGTTTCAATTGGCCTTTGAATCTTAAATGCTCTGATGTCATGTTAGAATCTATTTCTTGATCAAAGTGGAAATAATTTAATTGTGAAGATTTGTTATAAAGATATTTGGACGAGAGATTGAGAGATTTTTTTTGGTTTGTATATAAATATCGTTAATTCAAACTCAGAAGATTCAACCACTACAACTGGAGGTAATCTCGACCGTATGAGAGATAAAGAGATAGAATCTGCAAAACTCTTTTTTTTTTTTTTATCTAACTCTGACATTATGGCAACATCCAAGCTATCTGATTATTTACATGAACGAACATAACTCTTCTTCTTTACTACAGGCCTCCTCCCTGCATCACTAAATGAAACACACATTAGACTGATCCCAAAAATTCATGGGGCAAAGAAGATAGAGCAATACCGTCCTATTTCCTTGTGCAATGTCTTCTACAAAATTATCTCCAAGCTTCTGTCTCTCTGCCTGAAACCGGTCCTAGCATCTGTTATTTCGGAAAACCAATCCGCCTTCATCCCTGGCAGAGCAATCACAGACAACATTTTAATTACCCATGAGGTCTTGCACTACCTTAAGATATCTCAGGCACAACAGAAATGTTCTATGGCAGTCAAGATGGATATGTCAAAGGCGTACGATCACGATCGTCTGGAATGGGACTTTGTTTCCCAAGTGTTTAAGAGACTTGGTTTTCACGACAAATGGACAAACTGGATCATGCAGTGTATCACCTCTGTATCCTATAAGTTCCTAATCAATGAGAGCGTATATGGATCAGTTTTACCTCAGCGAGGAATTCGACAAGGAGACCCCATTTCCCCTTATATCTTTATTCTGTGCGGGGAGGTTCTCTCCAGACTCTGCAAGCAGGCGCAAAAGGATGGTCATCTCCAGGGAGTTCGAGTTGCAAGAGGCAGTCCGAGGGTAAATCATNTGTATCCTATAAGTTCCTAATCAATGAGAGCGTATATGGATCAGTTTTACCTCAGCGAGGAATTCGACAAGGAGACCCCATTTCCCCTTATATCTTTATTCTGTGCGGGGAGGTTCTCTCCAGACTCTGCAAGCAGGCGCAAAAGGATGGTCATCTCCAGGGAGTTCGAGTTGCAAGAGGCAGTCCGAGGGTAAATCATATTCTGTTCGCCGACGACACCATGATCTTTTGTAGTCCGGCACCGGAAAGTTGCCAATCTCTCAAGCATATCCTACATATTTACGAGGAAGCTTCAAGTCAAAAAGTCAACATGTCAAAATCTTCGATTACTTTCTCAAAAAAAATTCCTCAAGAGACTAAAACTTCAGTGAAAAATATCCTTGGAATTGATAAAGAGGGAGGAGAAGGGAAGTATTTGGGACTGCCTGAGCATTTTGGGAAGCGAAAGAGAGACCTATTTACCTCGCTGGTGGACATGATCAGACAACGAGCTTCTATCTGGTCTTCTCATTTCCTTTCAAGAGCAGGAAAATTAACCATGCTGAAAGCGGTCCTTACAGCTATTCCCACGTATACTATGTCCTACTTCCAAATCTCTTTGAGCCTATGCAAGAGGATCCAATCAGCACTAACTAGATTTTGGTGGGACAAATCTTCGGATAAGAGGAATATGAGTTGGGTGGCCTGGACGAAACTTACACAATATAAAGCCTTAGGGGGTCTGGGTTTCCGCGATATCCAGTTGTTTAACCAGGCTCTGCTAGCCAAGCTTGCTTGGTGGATCCTTACAAACTTTATATTGTTTTGGTCACCAACCATTGCAATATTTATTTATAAGAAGTTGCAATTGTTCAGTTTAGCAGTTGTAAATTGTTTTTGAACAGTTGCAATATTTAATCACCAAAATTACAATTTTCCTTTTTAATGGCCTTAATATATTCTAAAAATGTTACAATGTTTCGTTTTAATGATTCACCCCTTTAAATGTCAAGTATTATATCATATATTCTTAGAAAAATAATTAATTAAAGAGTAAGTAATTATTATTACTTGCTGTTAAAAATAATTATTATTACTTATGAAGGGTTGCTATTCAACTTTTTGTAATGTTTTACAGCCATCTATACTTCAAAATCACTGAACATATATATATATCTCTTTCACATTCATAAATATCTAGAGAAAATTAATTAATGTACTGATTACAGATCGATATCATAACCGTTAATTTGAATATTAAAAAAATTATTGTTCTTATTTTATTTTCCTTATATAATTTTAAAAGCTACTTTATAATACATACCAATTTTTCTTTCGATGGTGAATTATGTTTCTTGTTAATAAATGATATCTTCACATTTTTAAATTATGTAAATAAATATAATACTTTTTGGTATTTAAGGTAATTTGTAAACTACAAAGAATTAATAATTTTTTTACATCAAACAAATGTTTGTCAATGAAATTGATTATATATGATATTTTGACAATATTATCATTTGAATTCTTTAAATTACATTCATCCATTTCTTGTATTGGAAGCAATCTGTGTACACCACTTTGCACAGTGTAGAAGATACATTTTACGGATACAAATAGCAATATTTTTTATAAATATGGTAAGGTGAGTTACAAAATATTCTAAAAATATTTAGAAATCTTTATACTTTCTTAAAACGTGTTTCAACTTATTTTATTGCCAAAAATAATCATAGTCTAAATTTTTTAACTACAGGGAAGTAGAGGATTTTGCTCGGAGATTGAACTCAAGTTGGGTTCTATCTTCAGGACAAGAAAGGCAGCCTGTGCACTTTTCCATAAACGGCAATGGGGCTACAAGGCGATTAACAGGTACACACACACGACAACCGTCTTTTCAGGGTTAATCTTTGCATCACAAAGGTGATGTTGAACTGAATCACTTACCATATCGAGTGTTGGATATAGCTATAGATGACTGATGGGAGATAGTTCAGTTTGCCTTCGGTTTTGAACATTGAAGGACCAGCTGCAGGACACAAATGAAGCTGATAACTCTAAAGCCCAATGGCTGGAACAGTTTTGGTGATCGATCCCACATTTAGATTGTAAGCAATTAGAGAGAGAGTGGTGTTCTTCATGGGTGTCCCTCCTGTAATATATTGCTTTGTTTCTTCTTCTTGTCATAAACCATTATCGTTGATCCGAGAGTTTAGGATGCAGTTTTGCTTCTCTTTTGATCAACCTTTGTATACCAACTTTTTAATTATTTATTGGTTACCTTTCTGTATTTTCTTAAACTAAAGAATAATTAATTATACGAAGAAGATGAGTCATTGTCTTTATCATCACAAAGTCTCATGAGATGAGGAGAGTAAATACCTCAAAAGCAGTTTTACAGATGTGATCAAGATCTTTGCAGCTTTATGTTCTTGTCTTCTTCTTCCTCTGTAGCTTTTCAGGTAATGCTGGGTTCGCTCACACTGCTGCTGATGGTTTTGGATGGCAAGTTCCAGAGTTTTGTGGAGTGAATCAGGAATGTTATCATGCCTAGTCCCATCCCGCTACACTGGTGGATCAGCACTGTAAAAAGCAACTCACGAGTAAGGTGAAATGCAAATGAAAGAGGAAAAATATAGTAAAAAGGGAAAGGGTTCTCTCTTGTTTAGGATCGCAGGGCTTACAGGTAAAAGAGGGAGGAGGTGAGTGGGTTTGAGTTCTCTTTGTGATGCTTGATGAAGCCTCAGATCCTATAAAATATGACAATGCGCCAGCAGACAGAGAAGAACTGGTTCGTGATGTTCTCTCCGTTGAACTTCCACTCTGCATATCTGATTTGGAGCTACTTTGAGAGGACACAAGCCGCTGAAAGAGCATATAATAGAGTTGAGTTGAGAGAGCTCTGAATTCATCCATTCTAGCTTCCCTACATTGGTTCAGTAATAAAGCATCAACAACCGTCTCTGTATAGTTACGGTAAAGAAAACTCTGGCTTGAACCTTGTATGGATGCGATGTAAACTGATAATCCAAGATGGCTTTTCTCCATCTTCCTGCAAATTGATCACTACCAAGTCAAATTCGAGAGTAAAAAGAAACAGGGTGAAGAAGCACTGAAGCAGCAACACAAAAAGGCTGATTTATATTACAATTCACAAATTTCATATCTTATACATACCCCTTTCTGCAGGCACAAACTTCATATCCCATCATGATTTTTTACAAGACAATATCATTATTACAATTTTACAAATGACTGACTCATACCAAACACAGGCTCGTGATAGGACAATGAGTGAAGTATTACAAAACGTCTAAAAGACAAAAAATCATGAGCTTCCTTAATTAGCCACTAAGGACTTCAAGCTGCTTTTGATTAATCTTTTTACAAAGGAGGGGATCTGGTTCAATGATCCAGGAGCTTGAATCTTGAAGCCATTCTTGGATTGCAGACCGAAGAGCAAGATTTGGAACCAAGCATGTGTGAGGTAGCCTTTTGTTTGTCATTGGAGAAGTCTCGTGTCCACTATCTAACCAACAACATATAGCCTCTCTTTCATATGTAAAACCGTCTGCTGCTACCTGTGGATCCTCCATCACATCCTGCAAAGATAAGATGGTTCTCTTATGATTAATAACATTTTTGATTATATAGTTTTCATTTATCTTTACCTGTGTTATGGGACATATGAAGTACTGAGGCAGTTCAGTGTCCTTAGAGGGAGACACTTCCTCTCCCTCACGCTTACTCTTCAGCTTTGATACTTTGCTAAGCTCTATCTTCAACTCTTCATTTTCATCTCTACGTCTTCTCAACTCTTCCATTAATAATCTATAATTGCATTGGAGCTCTCTGATCACCATATTAGATTCGGCAATTCGTGTCTCGGACTCTGATCTCATCTTTTCAAGTTGTTCTTTAGCTTCTTTCAGTGCCTTCTCTGTTTCTTTCCTACGCTTCAACTCATTGAGATACCCATTTTCAGATTCTTTAGCCTACATTTATGGTCATAGATAAGAGTTAGCAAAACGTTAACTACGTCCAAGGGAAAGAAACATGCCAATGGAACATATTAATATACCCATTTTTCAGCTTCTTTACGCTTACACATCTCATTGCGTGTTGCCCTTTTTGCATTCTCAGCTTCTATGAGTGCTACTTGGATCCGAGCATCATCTTGAGCCATACTCGAACTTGGAACAGTTTCAGTTCCTTTAGTTATCTTGGATTGGCTCAAAGAACTTGACGGTGTACCTTCTATATACAAGTTATCTCTTCTTCTAGCTTCTCTGTAACAACATCATACCCATAAAAACACTTGTGTAAGTCACAAGCAAGACTCAAAGACCACATACCCTAAAATAGTAACTATTACTTTTGTAGTTAGCACTGAGAAGATGAAACCAAAACCTTGTAAAAATTAAGTATCCGTTGCACGGAAACCATATATGGCAAGTATCTGGTGCTTGTCTGCAAATGTAAATAGATTTCTTGGACTGCAAGTCTCTCATTTTCCTACAAAATTGTGAACTCTTTAGTTGATCAATACATTCTTACTTAGATCGCAAAAAAATTGACTCCATGCTGGTTAAACTACTTACATTGAATAGTGTCTATCAGCTGCTGCTCCCATGACAAGTTTCTTAATTCCGTGCTGGGAAATCAATTGGAGGATTCCTTCCTCTATTGAATCCATTTCAATATATATCTTCTCTGCACTGACCTAAACAATTCACAATTAAACTTGAGATTCAAGAAAAAAAAAACATTTCTTCTAAAAATCAAAAACATACATATTATAAAATTGCCGTCTCAAATTATTTCTAATATATTGATATAGTTTAAAAAGTTAATAGTTCTATTTTTAGGTGTTTTTTTTTTTGAAATTATAGTTCCTAAAAGTTGGTCTGAGTAAGATAAATCGTACCTGCATTTGCCTACATATATGGAGGTACTTGTCCAAATTATCAAGTGCTCTCTTCTTCTTTTTTCTATAACGCCTCAGTTTCTGCTCGTGGAACCTTGCTCCAGCTTGAAATGATCAAGAAAACAAGATTTAATTATTTTAACTTAAAAAAAAAGCTCTGCACAAAACGAATATATATACTTACGGATTGAAATTTGGATAGATTGATGAACATAGACGATGCAAAACTCTCTGCCTCCAGTGTTCTGTATCGCCCAAACGAGACTAGACTTGCTCTCAAGCTCTCTCTTTGTCACTGCTACATAGATTTTCTTATCAATCACCGTCTCTCTTTTGCTAATCTCCATTGATTCACCATCATTGCTGCCACCTGTAGATCCAGCCATTTCCACCTTTTCTTGAATCTTTAACTTCATCGTCACTCCGGTCCACACATAAAAATTTGAGTAATCCTGTAGAAATGAGTGGTGAAGATTTGGTCTAACACAGTATTTTATAAGCCAAACTATTCAACTTCTAGATGTATATATATAGGGAGAAGTAAAAGGCTGCGATTATAAGATAAAACACGTTATCTGATCAATAATCCGTGTTAATTATAGTCTTATTACAGAAGGGTAATTACATATATTACTTAGAAATCTGTGAGTAGATAAGTATCTGACTTTCAAAGAACCGACCAAATAATCTGAAAATGATGGTCTCAGTCTTTGTCAAGAGAATTTAAGAACTTGGGAAAGTGAGAAAGAAATTTCAGATGTAGTACAAAAAAATCTCAGAACATTCTTAAGTCTTGTGTCGTCCAGAGTTACGTATGCATGCTTACTTCAGCGCCGATTTTATGTTTTTACAGTTATGGCCCTGGTAATCAACTTTTTCATCATTCTTTTCAAGGAAAAATTTGAGAAATTCAGTTGGATTAAAACTCAAACTTACTTACAGAAAGTAACCATTAGATATTCTAAGTGATTTAGGTCTTCAGTGTTTACTTCAAAATCATTAAGCAAACATAAAGTAAATCATGGAAATCATATTCTTTTAAACTGGTCATGTAACCTGTTTAACTTTGAAATAGTGCTTGAACAATTTATATGTAATAGAGTGTAAATAATTGAAGTTCCCCTTTCAAATGAAATAAAAATAATTATTTCCTTGGACTATTTCAAACATAGAATTTTAAACAAATATTTATGCTTAAAAGTTTTAGTTATTTCATAGTATCAAAGCATGGATATCGATCTATGAACTATAATTTAAAATCCCTCAACTTTTGTGATTTTAGCTTTAGTTCCTGGATTTTGTGATTTTAAATTTTGTGATCTTTGATATTTAAAGTTATCGCCTAACTTTTATTTTAATTTTAAAATTCGAGTTTAAATTTTAGTCCTAAAGACCATCACTGTTGAGGGTATTGGGGCTCTCACAAGTTTCCAATGAAATTATAAGCTCGATAAGTCAAATAAAGACAACTTTGAATTTCGTTATACTCTCCCCATCAGCCACTCCATTTAACAACGAAATAAAATTATATATATATATATATATATATATATATATATATTTGCATGCATTTATGCATACACTATACATAGCAAAATTTAAGTAAAATGAGTACGTGGTGGTCATCTGGTGGTCTAAATAAAGATAAGCATCTTTGTATATTTTGCATATTCTGATAGTTATAGTTTACTCAAAGTCATATCATAAACAAAATCTAGCGAGAGCTATTAGAATTTTAGGGATAAAATATTTCAATACTTTTTGTAACATTCATATTAATTTGTATACAATAATCAAATGTTATAAAGTTACTTATAACTAATTTACAAGTTATTATCACATGGCCATATCAGATACAGGAACTGCATAGCTTTTTGCTGGTTGCGGAACACACCTAATTTAGAAGGTAACTTCAGTGTAGTCGGTGCTTGTCTACAAACAAACCACATTGAGAGATTAGTACGCTCGTGTGTCAAACTGTAATAACTTTCAACATGTTTTGTTAAGAGATAAACTTAGCGGATGATGGAGCTGGTTGCTACATTGCAAGAACCAAAGCTTTCTTGATTTTGATTGTATCTTGTTGTGTTATATACAAACCAGAATGACAGTCTCGCCTGAATCACAAAGGCTTGTGATTTTACATGAGAAACATAAACAGGTTGCAAGGATCAACAGTAGAGCGTTAAACATTATATAGCTATAGATTTACAGCAAATAACATCAATATGATCATCCCAAGTCTTGGGTATAGAAGAACACACCATTACTCCATTCATCATCGTCTTCCTCACATTCTCAACATCAATCACCACAGTAGAGCAATCCTTACCAATCACATAGACATTACTTCCAATAGAAACAAGCCGACATTGTTGCGTCATAACCAACTGAGATAGCTTCCCTATACGAATCCACATCCTCGTTTCCTTGCACCACATTGTTAGCGTAGCTCCAAAACTCTGATCCAAAACATAGAGATCATCTCCTACAACAACTGCTGGACCTAGCCATCCCGCCGCCATATCATCATCCACACGTTTCCAAACCCCGGTGGACCCATCATAGACTGCAGCTGAAGATCCAGCACCACCACGAACATAGACCTTCCCATCCATTACAAATGAATCTTCGATATCACGGACAACATTCGCGTCTGAGCAGGATACACATGCTTTCTTTAAAGGATCATAGATGTCCCAAGTCTGTGAAGCTTTCGAATTCACTCCTAACCCACCAATCGCCATAACTTTCCCATCCAGAGTCTCACAAGCAAAGAAGCATCTGCAAATGCAAAAATAAGATAAAAAATCGAGCCTTTGCTAAATGGCAAGATCAAGAATCTTTGTTACCTTTTCGTTGAAAGAGGAGGAAGTAAGTGAATCCAAGTGTTCAACGCAGCATCATAGCAATAAACATCATCAGTACCATCCTCTAACCAACCACACCCACCCAACACAAACAATCTCTTACCCAACACTGCAAAACCCATACCGTCTCTAAAAGTGACATGTGGAGGAACCTCACTGACTCTTCTCCACGCTCTTTTAGAGGGATTCAGAACTTGTAAGAAGACACGGCCAGATGCGTTGCGGCACAGTGCGTAGATCCAAGACTCAGATAAGTTGAACTTGTTGCGATAGTCACAGAAGTCATCACTGCATACGAAATCTCTCCATCTCCTGGAAACGCATTTCATGGACATGTGGTGTGATCTTGGAACTCTAGCTAAGCAGAGATTCAAGATATCGTCAGGGAATCCGGTTATAAGCGACGACGTTTGTGTCTCTTTCGATTGATCCGAAGATTCCGTCTCCATTGTGAATCAATCAGCAAATGAGAGATTCTTTAAACCTCTGTTCATGGCCAAAACAACAAACACTAGCTCAGATTTGGTTAATCCCTAAATAATAATCACTGTTCATCGTCATAACAACGAATCAAACAATCGAAGAAGAAGAAGCAGATTCAAATGTGGAAAACGCAAATTAAATTGTTTAGCTCTCACAGTCTAGAGATCAAATCCGCTCAGCAGTTGCATCAAATCCAATCTACTACGACTACGACTACGATCAGATCTACATCTCGAATATTTTTTTGAAGCATCAGATACGAATACGATACTTACCGAATTTTCGGAGCTTGACGAGTGGCCTTAGAGATCTCAGATCGTCACTAAGGTGAACGTGATTAAGGAAGTTTGATGAGAAGTTGGCCAACGTCTTTGCGAGCTTCCCGGCGAATAAAGGAGGAGAGAGAACAGAGAGGTGAACGCTTCTTCTAAGCAACTAGGACGACATCGTTTTGGAAACGGATTGTTTTTAAGGATTGTTTACGTTCCGTTCTAATACGCCGCCGTATTACCTTCTACTGGGCCTTATAAGCCCGGCTTGACCATGCATATCCGGGCCATAAAATTATAGCAAACGGTATCCTTGCGTGACAAGAATTATACAGAAATTAACTCCAACTGCTAAAGCTAAAGTTGCTCAAACAGTGGCCAGTGTCATTAATGTTTGAAAGCTTATGTAATGGCTCTTCTACCTTAATGTTAACTAGACCTTGACCCGCGCGCCAGCGCGGGTATGATTTTCCGGTTGTTGATTATTTATTTTATTAAATGATGTACTTGTAATACTTGATCATATTATATTCACTTAGCATATAATATTTTTGGCATGTTAAACCATCTATTGTATGATCAATCTTCGATATCATATAAAAAAATTAAACATATATAGTTAATTAGANTAACATGTTTAAAAAAATAAAAAGATTTTGTAAATTTGTATAAAAAATAAACATATAAAAACAGATTAAAATTTGGTCATCCCAATCTAAACTATTTCATAATTATATTAATAATATATTATTTCTGATCATTTGTTCTGTGTCAAAATAATATGTTGAAAACCCACATTATTGAAACCCATGTTAAAACCGTTTTTTTCTATTTCTTTCGAAAATATACCCGAATATAGGAATTTGGTTCAATCTATATATTCCATTAGATTTTGAATTTATTGTTTCCTCTTCAGCAAGAAAATTAGTTACCGAAATTATAGACCAATCAGGTTGAAATTAAATATATGTTTATGATGCGAAAATCTTGGATATGATATTGATTTAAGGATACGATCTAGCAAAACTTTCTGTTATAATAGAGATAAGATTTTCTGTTTTGATTTTGTATTTATTGAATTGTTTTTTTTTTGTTTTTTGTTTAGAAAATCGATAGATGGTAATTGGATTAGATCTTGCAAAACTTTCTGTTATAATAGAGATAAGATTTTCTGTTTTGATTTTCTATTTATTCAATTGTTTTAAAAAAAAAAATTTAGAAAATGGATAGGTGGTAATCGGATTAGCTGTTTGAATCTTGTGGGCATTAGCTGTTTGAATATGTGTATATGATTGGTAATCCGATTTGATATTGAAATTAGAGTTATCTCTATATTACTTTTTAACAGTGACGTTATTATACCGTAGAATACATTATATAAACCAATATAGTTAATACNGTTATATTGTGTGTTAGTTAATATTATATTTCTCTATATTATATTAGTGATGCACGTTTTATTGATACACATTTTAGATGCATGTAATATATCAGTGATGTTAGTGATGCAGTAAATGAGTTATCATTAATATACGTGAAAAAGACATGTTAGTGATGCAGGTATTTTTTGGTTGATTAAATAACTCATTAATATAACTAAAAAAGACAAGCATTTAAATAGGATGTTTAATTAATATAACTGAAAAAGACAAGCATTTAAATAGGAAGTTTAATTAAATTCTCAGTGGCATATGAATGTAAATAAGTTGGAAAACTTAGGGGTATTTTTTAATGGGTACTTCTCTTTTAATAATAGAGATAGCTCAAGATTTTGGAATCAATTTTCTTCTTATATCTAGAAATTAGGTTATTGATTGTTCAGATTCTGTATTGTCTGATAGATTATTGGGTCTAATTTTTTTCTCAAACGGCTTGTTATTAGAGAAACACTTGGAGATGGGAGCAAGAACAATAACTACTAGTTTAATTTATCTACTAAAGGTAGTTAGTTCTTTCTCTTTACTGAATGTAAAGTTACATCCTCAAGTATATAAAGTGACGTAAATATGGCTGGAATCTAAACATTAGATCCTTTGATAGAGAGAAAAGAAACAGAGTTTTGATAAAGAGATATGAAAGCTTTGCCATGCCAGGGTTTATCATCATCATCATCAATAGTGTTATCAAGAGACTAGATGACATAACATTCTTGAACGTGAGGTTCACTCTCCTATAAACTACTAGATGCTAGTATGAAGTCCAGAGAGAAAGCTTATGGTCAAAGTCAATTATGAGTATCCCACAGTAAATGCTTTCAACTCAAAACCTGATTGATACAGTAAGTATTTTGTTGTCTACTGTTTCCCCTCTTGTCACTTAGTAAAACAAAAGAAGAACCCTTTCTTCACCCTTGTTGATGGAGAAGAAAGCTGGAGTTGATATCTCACTTCTTGTTTTCTGTTGAGAGAATGAAACTGAGATGTCTCGCTTTTCTCTTCTGGATCTAGTTGCTACATAGCTTGATACTAACGCTACATTAAACCTAGTATTAGGTTAAATAGAAGCTTGTGTATCTTGTTTGTTGATAAGCCTTGAGAGAGATTTTTCTGTTGCATGGTTACCGTAACCTCCAAGTCAATATCTTTTTGTAGTCTTATCGAACCCTTTAGATTCTGCTTTTTGTTCTTATCCTTCATAAGACTCATATTATATATCCCACAAAGTTCGAAAGTCTAAACCTTTATAAGTGTCGTGTCCTCCAGCGAGAGCTTTGCATCCTTTTTGCAGAAGCCTATGGATCGAACAGAACCAATGGCTTTATCCGGGTTGAGTTCTTATTACATCCAAAGAGACATACCTCCTCTTCAGACTCAACCGACATTTAACGCATCGCAAGGGTTTCTTAATTTCTATAATCCCAACTCTCCTTTCGGCTCCACTGGGTTCATGTCTCCTCCTTTGCCAGTTGAGTCTTCTCACGTTGAAGCTTCAGCGGCGGTTGCTCTTCCTCCGTCTGGTGAGACGTCTGTTAAGAGGAAGCGAGGACGACCAAGAAAATACGGACTAGACGGTTCTGTTTCCTTGGCATTGTCTCCTTCACTCTCCTCATCCATGTCCTCAAACTCTAACAAACGTGGTCGTGGTAGACCTCCTGCTTCCATTGGTAATAATCTCTCTCTCTCTCTCTCTCTGTTTCTTCTCGAAACTATAAATAAAAGGTTTTGTAAATGGTGGAACGATGTATAATTGATTTATATATACTATAGTTTATACTGAGGATATTGGTTTAGGGAAATTGTGGGAAATTATTAAAGACTAATTAATGCTTTAGACTTTTGTTTTTTTAAATGTCTCTTTTATTCTAAGGGCTCTTTTCTCTGAAGCTATGTTTACTAACTTCGTGTCCTGATGTTGTGACTTCTAAGGTGAATTGATGTCTTCATCGTCGGGGATGAGCTTCACGCCGCACGTTATCGTGGTTTCAATTGGTGAAGTATGTCTTCTTCTTGAACATATTTTGTTCTTTGTATAGGCTTCTTTTGAATATAGTCTTTAAATCTACACTCTTGTTTTGTTTTGTTTTAGGACATTGCATCAAAGGTTATGTCTTTTTCGGAGAAAAGTGCAAGAGCCATTTGTGTTTTATCCGCTAATGGTGCAGTCTCTACTGCAACTATTCTTCAGCCATCGCCATCACACGGAGCTATTAAATACGAGGTTTTGATATTGTTATTTTTTATTATGCTTTAGAAGACACGAACATTACTCATGTTGGTGTGTGTATACTCTATTATGGTCTCTAGGGTCGTTTTGAGCTCTTATCTCTGTCAACTTCTTACTTGACCGCAACTGACAATTATGACTACCCAAACCGCACTAGAAACCTAGCGGTCTCACTCGCTAGCCCTGATGGTCGTGTCATTGGTGGTGGAGTTGGTGGGCCCCTAATAGCAGCAAGCCCAGTTCAGGTGAGCTTGGGCTTGTAAGCATCATCAAACTTCTTTAGAGATCATTTTTTCTAAACTTTTGTGTTGTCTCCTTAATAGGTTATCCTCGGGAGCTTCCTTTGGGCGGTTCCAAAAGGGAATACTAAAAAAAGAGATGAAACTTCTGAAGATGTCCAAGACAATGACAACAAAGACAACACAGCATCAACTTCGCCTCATGTTCCTCAGCAAAGCCAGAACCTTGTTCAGACACCTGTAGGGATGTGGTCTACAGGTTCGAGCTGAATGGACATGCAGCAGGTGCATATGGACATTGATCTACTGCGTGGATGATTGTGTAGATAAGCAGTGAATCTAGGAGATGAAGAAGAAAGACTTAAACTAACCTCTCTTGAGGGAAAAAAAAATGTCTTCTAGTTGTTTTTAGAATTCATGCTCTACTCTTGAGCTTTTTGGTTAATCGATTTGGTTTTTTTTTTTAAAAAAAATTAGAATCAACAAACGTTTTAAATATCAACGACTTACACTTATAGTTTCACTTCTGAGAAATTTTGTTTTGGACTTCCCAATAGTCATTTGTGCACTCCTTAACCTCCCTTTTTTGTTTCTCAAGAAACCTCTTGAGCTCATAATTTTTACAAGCTTTGGATCACAAGCCGACTTGACCAATTGTGAATGCAAGTTTTTTTTTTTTTGACAAAGGGCTTATTGTGAATGCAAGTTACAACACAATAAAGTATAGCAGAAGATAAATCAGAGATAATTACAACAAACAAATTTTGCTTTATTAGAAATTAATTAAACAATCTTTACAAGACTTCCTTAAGATCAGCTTTACACAAACCCTGACAATTGGTACTAAAAAAATCTTAAGCTACCTAGCTTCTGTCTCTTTATCGTCAGCTATTTCAGTCTCTGACTCATGATATCATGGGGATTTATCCATGTGTTGAACATAAACTCACAACTGGGTTTTGTTGTTTCTGATGTTTGTCTTATGTGGATCTATCCATGTGTATTATCTCTCTCATCTGACAAACACACAAGATCTAGAGAGAGAAGAAAGAAATGTAGAGGAGAACGGAGAAGTTTTTTTTTGGTCTAAAGAACGGAGAAGTTTAGAGTCTTGTTAGCCATATCTCAATTCTGATGAGTCTAATGGTTTTGGAGTTTTTAACATTGTAGGGCAGTTTACGTGTTTTTATGTCAAGATAAGGCAGTTTCAACTACTGAGGTAATTTATATGTGAAAAGCCTTAACTTGCCCTTGAAAAAGGGTTAACTAGTGGGGTAAAATGGAGAAATGGCTTTTGGCTTTCTAGTTACATATATTTATTATTTTAAAGAAAATAGGAAATGTGTGGAGTCCGATGAAGTGACGTATTTGAAATCAAAAGCTTCTTCTTCAGATCTCTTCAATGTGTTTCTTGATCCTCTTTCATGACCACCAGAAAACTTCAGTCAAGCTCGATCTCTTTCACCAAAAAATTTGACACAATCGGATTCTTCGTTTCATATTCTACAATTAATCTCGTTTGTGCCGTGACAATAACTCGTGGTGGTTGTGATATCTGAAATCCGCCGAAGAAGCCATGTTTCAGTTACAAAAAATGAAGCTTGAAGAACTTTGGCCAAATCTCACAAAAAAATTACATTTTTTTTTTAAATCTAAAGTTCAAAATCAATATAGAAAAGTTCAAAAATTACGATTTCAAAGTGTATTTGACAATTAAAACTTAAAAGAATGCAAGATTATGAAAAAAATCAATGGCGGTCGCAAAAAAAATGATGCAGAAAACCCTAAAATTCTGAGAAAAACGAAGATATATTTACTAAAATGCCACTTATTAAAAAAATAAAAATGAAGTAAAATAAAGATATATACATTCGTTAGTGTACATGTGTACGTTCAATGATGCTAGTGTACATGTGTACGTTCAAGATTGCTAGTGTACATGTGTATCAAAGCTAAAATCATTAGTGTTATACATAACACATAAAATAATGTGTACACATATCATCATGTCAAAATCAATTGTATCTTTGATTATTTTAGTAAGTAACGACTAATCCACCTATATATGTACAACCTCTTTACATATATTGGTCCATTGTCGATGTACATGTGTACACATTACAAAGCATACACAAAATAACATGTCCATTTGTCTTAACCTTCTAATTTGTTCTAAGTTTTTACGTGTCATAAAGTGTACACATGTCATTTGTTATTCTTGCTCAAAAACAAAAAAAAATTCTTATATGTGGGTGTTTATGCATCGGTATATACGTGGACAATATTATATAAGTGAATCTTTGTACATGATAGTAAAATTTGTGTGTACACATGGACATTATATGGTTGCACATTTTGAAATTAGCAAAATTATTCAATTAGACAGTTTGAATGTAATGGACATTATATGGTTGTACATTTTAAAATTAGCAAAATAATGAGAATTTATTTGAAAATAAAAAAATTAGTCATAGAAACAAAACAAACAAAATGACATGGATCAAATTTTGTAAAATTGAAATAGTTTCTTGTCTGGATTGTGAAATTAAAAGTTTCAAATCAAATTCGTGGACAAATTTGAACAAATTAGAAACTTAAGATAAATTGAAGAATAAACAAGAGTTGGAGGACCATATGTGAAAATAATCTAAAGTTCACCATTGTTGCTCTAGAAAAGCTTCTTCATCCATCTGTGACCAAATCTGGTGGTGTTCTCTTTGATCTACGAGTACAGTGAGGAGGAGATGACTTGACAATATATGGATTAGAGATCTCATGGAATTGAGCTGTGGTTTGAGGTCGCCGACAACTGAGTTCTCCGACTGCTCCTTCCCCGCTTCATCCTCTCTACAGCCTCCCATGGATCTGTCACCTCTATTTCCTTTGATCCCAAAAAGATTTCTGGTTGAGACAACTATGACACAGAGAAAGCATACATATTGATATGAATTAGATGAGTAGAAAGAAGAATTACAAAATTTTTATTTTTTTAGTTTGGTGAGAGAACGTGAGTTCTGGAGAGAGAATGCTTTTGTTTTCTTGGTAGGACCATTTTAGTTAGATAAGTAACTTTAGTTATAATGGTTTGGTTTATAGTTAGAAAAAACTACCTTAGTAGTAGAAACTGTCTCAACATGTAAATAAAACTTGAAAACTGCCCTGCAGTGTAAATGTAAGGCAGTTTATCAATTCTCTCTTGATATATTATAGAGAATATTACTTTGAGAGTCACTTTTGTAGTTATCAACATAATGAGTCACTTTTGTATACTTTGAGAGTCACTTTTGTATACTAGAACACTTTTGATTCAGTAAGGTATATGAATCCGTATTATGAAGCTTAAGTTTGTTATCCCCTCGATAATTACATAATCTGAAAGACTTTGAACACTACTTAATTTTGCTTTCTGTCACCTACAAACTTTGTGACAAGCCTATAGCAATATTTTTGTGAATCTATTAAGTTTAGTTCCTCTATTCATCTCTGTCTTATTTGAAAAATAACTCTCATTGAATTATCCTTTTCTACAATTTCGAAATGATTTTGGAACGTCGACACACATGTTTTATATGAATAATTGTTTAATGGGGACTAAAAGTTAAACATTGACGCCACAGTAAGATCGTTGCGGATAAACCTTTTTAGTCTGCTATTTATATGAATCATATGATTGGTGTTATATTGTGACAATCTTCATGTTATTCCGGAATCAAATCTAGATGATGGTGTATCCATATGTGAGATTAGTTCTAGATAAACAAATAATTAAAATGGTTGCTAGCAAAACCTTTAGGGAGATGCTACACTTAAGAAGTGCATGTGTGAGCATTATATAGATAAAATAAAATGGTTAGTAGCAAAAACATTATGGAAATGCTAAGATAAAAATCGTTGTATAAATTAAGGTTTGTTGGCCAAATCATGAAAGTATTGCTCCTCCCACAACTCAGTTTGACGTGTTAAATTAGCTTTTCTCTCAAGAATCTCTTTTAAAGCTAGACGGTCATAAGGAGGAACCATCTCACAAGGAAGATCTTCACTTGGAGTCATCACCATAGACTCCGCCATGAAATCTCTCCACCGTTCCGTTGCCGCACATCCCAAACTATCCGGCGTGATCTCCTCCACATCCGAAGGAATCTTTACCTTAAACTTCAAGAGCTTTGCGTACTCATTGAGTAAATGAAACATATAGTCATACACATACTTCATATTCACCTCTTCTCTTATAAACCTACTCCCTACCTCTCCAATCTCACGTGCCTACACAACAAAAACCACGTTTAAATTTAAAACAAAACAAACTTTGATGTCAAATGTGATAAACCTTTAGATAGATAACCTTGTCCACGTGAGTATTGCCCCAATGTACGGCGAACTTGAGAGAAGTACACTTGGAGTCGTCTCTGATTGGCCAGTAGTGTTGCAGAGGCATCATTCCTCGTATGTAAAAGTCGTAGAACCTTGGTTTCACGTACAATGTCATAGAGTCACAGGCCATTATATATTTCTCACTAACCGACCATGCCCATCCTTCTATATATATCTTGTATCTGTGGGTGCACTGATTCTCTAGATTTGAGTTCTTGAACCCTTCTTTCGTTTCTTTATCCCAGTCCTTGAAGACAATTTTCAAATCAAGATAAGTTATAACTCATATACACATGTGTAAGTGTATAATATAAAGTATTTTTCTAAAGTAAAATATGGTAACACCTGAACATAGAGGCGAGTGTTCCATTCTTCATGCTCAGAAACATTACACTTGAGAAGATCTCCTCTCGTGGGGTCCACATAAGGATTACCTTTCCAATAAGCGTAGGGCACGCGGTCTTTCCATTGCGTTATATGGTTCCCTTCTTTTATAGCCTCTAGCGACTCTCCCCATGGCTTTATATTGACTTCAGCCCTGGCCCATTAAAAGCCCATATTACAAACAATGCTTAATAATAAAAAGCCCAGTATCTAGTAGAGTTCGCTTACCAGCCCCAGAACGACCAATCAGGGAAGACAATGTCCAAGCTGGCATCATCAGAACAGTAACGGAACACAGGAGGTGGGTCCTTGCTTTTTTGACCTGTATAGTCATCAGATGGGACGACGGGACGATCATCAGCATCGAACATAAGGTCGAGATCAGGTAATCTCCCAGGGTACCACCGTAACAACTGTAGGATTCCCCACAGAGTAAAATCATCTCTCGTTTGAATTGACTTTCTGTATCTCTTAACGTACGCCTTGCCGCGGTGGATCACCAGTCTAAAATGCGCCGTTTTGCTCGCTTTCTCAACCATGTCTCTAGTTATCCCAGTTTCCTTCCACGGTCGTAAGTCTTCATGGATCCAACGGAAGTAAGAAGGACACGTGGATGGTTCTGAACGGTTGTGATCTAATTTCGATGTCCGAATCTGAGAGAAAGGGACCTGATGTGTTTGGTTCGGAACAACATCGCATTGGTAAGGAAACTTAGGTTTAAATCTCTTCTGTGTTAGTTTGAAACCTGCAAAAGCGTTCTAAAAAAACACACTTTAGCTATACAAAGGTTACACTATATATTTGCACAAAAAATAAAAAGACTAGCTAAAAATATTTTGATTTATAAAACTCACAAAGTCGAGATAGCCCAGGAAACCCAAGAGAGTAGCTGATACGAAGAGAGAAACAACGATGAAAACAGTAGCTTTTACGATATATTTTCCAGGAAACGACAGCGTTTTGCGCTGTTCATCCTTGTTGTTCGTCTTCATGCCTTCAACTCCTTGATGCACGAGTCTGGTCGTTATTTATGAAGTGTAATAAAAGTTATAAAGACTTAATGAAAAAGAGGATAAACGACATGGAGAAACGGTCAAAAGAACCAAGGAAAAGAAAATACTAACGATAGAAAATCGAGGCATTGGTTTTTCAATTAACTAGCTCCGTTGATTTATTGAGATAATGACTTGGGATATTATAATGTATAGACAATGATAGGTTAGGGTAGATCAGATTGATGTATATGTCTGCTTATGAGTCTTTACCTATGTGGTTGATATGGTTTGAATTAATAACATAAGATAAATTTGTAATCAGATAAACCCTATTCTATTGTTTTTAAAATGAATAACTAGACTCCCAGTCTCGTTAATGTCCTCCATTAACCCTCACCTATCCCCAGCTAGCCCTAATCTCTAGAGACTTCCTTGCATTGTTTATAACAACTCATCTACGTGTCTTCTTTGGATTTTAAGAAACGACTGATCTGATCTAAGTTTAAATTATACTGTTCATATATAAGTAATAGAATATATTACGGGTTATGTTTTAGATCACGGCTTTTGATTGGAGACTATATATAAAATAATATGCTATACTTACAGATATATCATAGTTTAAAACATTAAATGAGATTATCGTGGTGTGTTGTCAGATGTCTATATTATATACTTACCCATATCTACGAGAGAACGTGCTCAATCAAACGTTTAGTAGCTTACCAAACCTCGACAACTCTGAGACTCATACGCAAATCATGGTCAATAAATAATTAGCACGTTCAGGTTACTAATTCTCGTACGTCCATTATTAAAGTTAAAAACCAATGAAGTTACGAAAGATTTAGAGCTAAAACTCTGCTTTTTTTAGCACATAAGTACGTAAGAGTAGGGCTGGGCATTCGGGGTCCCAATCGGGTTTCGGTTCGGGTTCATTCGGGTTTCGGGTTTTCGGATTTATGAATTTCAGTCCCATTCGGATATTATAAAAATTCGGGTCGGATTCGGTTCGGGTTTAATCGGGTTCGGTTCGGATTTAGTAACATGTCCAAAATCCAGTTGAAGCCGAAATAGTTTCGGTTTCGGATACTTATTGGGTTATCGATTCTAAAAATACTAATTTAGACTCAATTAAATTCATTATTTTTTCAATCTTTTTATTAATTGTGTATTTAGCTTCTACAAACCGTATTGTTCTGCTTCTAAATAATATTATGAAACTCATCTATCAACAATATAAGATTTGTCATTGAACTATATGTGACAACACTAAAAAAAATCATGATTAATGATAAATCAAAGTCTTGTATGAACTAAAATCATACATAATGAAACATAAAAAGTTAAAGTTAACAACTAACAATTATATAAACGTAAGAAGTAATATTGAAAATTTAAAAAACAACATTATTTAAACTTCAAAACAAATTTATTCGTAACTTAACTTCAAATGTAGTGTCAATCATAAACATTAGTAACAGTCAAATAACACTATATATTAGACTAAATATTTGAGTTAATTATTCATATCATAACTAATTATTATAGGTACTCAATAATATATTAATGTGTTTTGGAAACATATTAGAAATTTAGATTGAGTATGATATAAGTTTTTTTGGATTTTTAAAGTTTCGGGTTCTTTCGGATATCCATTTAAGTTCGGGTTCGGTTCGGATAAAACCCATAACCCGAAATACCGTAAAACAAGATCCATTCGGTATTTATGTCGGGTTCGGATCGGTTCGGATTCCTTTTTATCGTCTCGGGTTCGGTTCGGATTTTCGGGTTTCGGTTTTTTTTCCCAGCCCTACGTAAGAGTATTAAGAGCACCAGCAGTTACAATTCTTAGAACATCATTAACCCTTAGCTCCTAGCTAAATATTCTTAGATTTTTCTTTTTAATTTTTTTTTAATGTTTTGTCTTTAAAAAATACAAAAAAAGAAAAAAAAAATCAATAACGATAGTCACATATTAGTGGAACCTGCGAATAGTTTAAGAATCTTGTAAGAGTTGACTCTTACACAAGATATATACGAACTGTTTTTTGAAAGAACCATGGCTAAGAGCATCCTCATTAGGCTCACAGCTTTTATTTTTTTTAATTTTTTTTTTGGTTGGATTTTTTTAAAAAATAATAAATAAATAAGCGGATCAATCGCGGATCGCCACGTGGTCTAAACCCGCAAAACATTGATGAAACGAGTTCATCCGAACGTAACCCGGCGAGACGAGTTTATCACCCACTAATATTATAGTTTTTTTTTGGGGTCTGTGAAAACTTGCTCCTTTACCCCTTAATGGGGATATCTAAGAGCCATGGTTAATGGTGTTCTTAAACATAGTCTCTCAGTTTATAATATTAATGTTTTAACAAAATTAATTAATTTTAACTTTTTCAAAATATTAGACCATCTAACAACATGACACGTGGAGAATCAGTACCTCACATGTCTAATGTAGACGAACGGTAGAACTAAAATTTACCAATTGTTATACTAGACTGGCCGGGCCAAAGACGAAAACGAATTGAAAGGCCTATACGTTTATAAACCAGCAAACATATATCTCACATACGAGAAGGTTTCTCGATTCCAGACATGCCATAATAGAGATATTTAATCAAACCTTGTGAGATAACTCTTTTGATCTAATGTACAAAAATGGAAGCAGGCCCAATAGATAAAGCCCGCCTTTTCGGCCTGAGTGGGGTCATGACAGCAGAGAAAGACATCCTCTTTTAAAGATTGCTTAAAAAGCGTCACATTTTAGTCTTACGTGGCATTTGTTAACAGTATTACCCGTTTGTCGGCAGTTTACGTGATCGGCAACAGATAATTGGCTTCACAGCCGTAAGCTCTGATGACTTTAAAAAATCAACGGATAAGAAAAATATAAAATTATCAAACTAACAATATGGATTTATATAGATAATCATACTTCTTCTTATCATTAATAATCATCAGAAGACTGAGGTTTGAACATTTCGTTAGACAGCAACGTGTGACTCTGTGTAGCTGCTGCCAATGTTCTTTTCCAAGAAGCTCATATCATCATCACTTATTGGGAAATCAAGCAGAAGCTGAAGAGCAGAGTCTGATGAGACATCTTCAACATTATTAGAACATGGAGAAGAATAAGAATCAGAGACACGATCAATCCCCATAACAGTCTCTTTCCTTACAAGGGCAGATGAAGAAGATGTTGTCCTCGAGCAAGGTGGGCTTTGACTAGTAGTAGTAAGGTTTCTGAAAGTTTCACCAATCTTTGAGTTCCAAATGCGTAAGAAGTGATCACAGTCATATTTCACTTCTCCTCCACAAGAAAGACTAAAAAGCATTGACTCTCTAGAAAGCCTTGCCTCAGCTTGAAGCCTAGCACTTTCCCATTGAGCCATGTGGCGAGTTGTTAGAGAAGCTGGAACTTGTTTGGCTAACCCGTATGAAGGTAACGGCTCATGGGTTTTGGGATCAAGTCCCATACTTAGCAGACGTTTCTTCAAATGAGTGTTCCATAAGTTCTTGATCTCGTTATCTGTTCTCCCTGGAAGCTGCACTGCTATAGCAGCCCACCTGACCCAAAAAAAAAAAACAGAGGATTTAAATAACAAGAAAAAGAGTTATGTACGACAATGTAGAAGCAACCTGTTGCCGAGAATGGCGTGAAGTTGGACAACGAGTTTCTCTTCCTCGGGAGTGAAAGGACCTCTCTTTATGTCTGGTCTTAAATAGTTGGTCCATCTCAGTCTACAACTCTTTCCACAGCGAAGTAAACCTTTTGCGCAAATCACGAGAGAAACTTATAAAGATGAGAAAACTTTTGTCCATGAGAAGCAAATAAAAGAAAGAAGATAAGAATGTGAGTTGTTACCAGCTTTCTTTGGAAGTAATCTCCAGCTTCCATGGCTGTTTTGGTTGATATATTCAACTAGAATCTCATCTTCTTGAGAAGTCCATGCACCTTTCTTCAAACCTTTCTTGTCACAGCAAGGCCTTCTTCCCATTTTGGCTCACCTTTACTACACAAAAACGAAAATCCAAAAAACCCTTTTGTAGGTTAAAGAAGAAGAAACAGAGAGAAGGAAAAAAATTGAACGTATTTACACTTTCATATAAGAGACAAACAAACCTCAATGTGAAAAAAAGATAGGATCAAAGCGAGAGAGAGTTTTAGAGAAAGGTTAAAACTGTATTAATGTGTTAGTCTGGTCTGGTTGTTAATGTCGTAAAGATTGTGTGTGGAATATAGATCCGAATAAGGACGATCAGCGAGCTTCAAAGCCGGCCCTGGCCATTTATTACACGCAATTTTCGTACAACATTTATGATAATTGTATTCAATGTCTGTGACAGCAACAGCAGGTTGTTCAAAAAATAAAACATTTTTTTTCAGGATGCAAGTAGAGATTTGAGATTTTGATTGATAGCAATGAAGGTGTGAATATGATATAGATACACTACCCTGGTTAGGGTTGTAGAATACAGCTAAGGCAAAAGTAAAGATGTGGGCTATAGGGTTCTCAGGTTTTCGGATTGCAAGAAACAGGAAATGAAAAGAGCATTGAAGGCGGATATTACGTGACATCCTTTTTAGCCGGAACAGAGAGCAACATTTATTGTCATTTTTCTTACAAAAATAATTGAAGTTGTTAGTAAAGAAAGGAGCAGAAGTGGAAGTAATGAAGACGACAATGACTTTTAGTTGTAGACTAGTAGAGCAGAAGGAAAACAAGTTTGATGCCACAAACAAGTTTGATACCAAATTAAAACGAAAACGCTCATGGTTATGATGATAAATGAACAATGGCTATTTATACATATATTGTTCTTTGCTATCCTGTAAGTTATTTTTTTTGTTAGTTCTTACTATTATCACTACTTTATTAGAATTTACAAAGTCCACACAAGTTGATACCTCATGCCTTCTAGGCTTTAGGATCACAAAGAGTCAAAAAATAAGAAGATACTGTTGGGTCCGAACCTTGCAGACAACATGGGGTCCATTTTATATCTCCATGAGTGTGGTCAGCTACAATTCAAAGCCTAAGTCAAAGTAATTAATGTTTTAGATTTTCATATATATGCTTCCTTTTCATAATTTCATAGATATTTATTTTCATGAAATAATTAATTGCGACATATCCATTCATCAAATAACAAGAGATCTCCACAGGAATCTGCACCAGATGTGTTTTAATGAAAAACCAGTAAAACCAAAAAGAGAAAAAATATCTTGAAAAATAAATTCTCGATGAATATATAAGACCAAGGAAAACAAAAACTCAAAGATTAGGGAATAACACAGCAAATCATTGTATAATTAAAACTAGGTGTTTTGCACGCACATGCGGACATAATTTCCGTACAATTTATTATTACTCTTTATTTTATTAAATCAAAGCAATATAATAAGTTATGATTTATGTTTTAAAATTAATTATAAATAACAACACTCACATAACAAAATATTTTTAAAAATATATTTCTACAAATGTGTTGCTTTAATTTATTTTAATTATAATTTTGTCTATCTTAATTTTTTATTTCTATAATAAAAAATATATTTTCAAGATAACAATATAGTACATAAGAAGTATCTTATTTTCTCAAAATATAATTTTTAATAGAAATTCGTTTTTATTTTATATAAATTTTATATGAAATTATTAAAAATATGACAAATAATCAAAATTATCTAAATCATGGAGAAATTACAAATCAGATAATTCACTTAAATTTCTAATATAAAATATATGTTCAAGATGACAATCTAATACATAAGAATTCTCTTATTTTTTAAATCGAGTATTATTAGTATACATTCGTTTTATTATTTAATAAATTATATATGAAGTTAAAATATGATAATAAGCAAAATATAAAACCATGGAAACGTTGATAAATTAGAATTGCTTTCTTTATATTTAACTACTAGGTGCTTTGCCCGCACTTGCGGACATAGTTCTCTTATGAATATTTATTAGCTGATATTTCATTAATTAAAAAATAAACATAATAAGTTTTTGTTTATGTTTTCAAAAGTACAAATGAAACATCAAATAATTATCAATGAAAAAACTCAAACATAAGAAATATTAAGAAGAATATATTTCTATAATTATTTTGCTTGATTTATATTTAATTATAGTATTTATACGAATATTTTACTTAATTTATATTTGATTATAATTTTTATATTTTAATTTTAAATTTGTTAATAGAAAAACATATTTCCAAGATAACAACAGAATGCATAAGTTATTTATTTTCTGAAAATATAATATGATAAATTTGAATAATTCTATAATAATTATAATGTCATACAATTAAAATTACCTAAAATCGTGGAGAATTTAATGAATCAGCAAATTCACTTCTTAAATAATTTTTCTTGAGTGATTATTTAAATTTAATTAATAATAGACAATTATCTATTTTACTTTTAAATTATATAATATAAAAATATATTTTTCAAGATAGCAACATAATACATAAGAATTACCTTATTTTCTAAAATGTATACTATTATTAGTGTAAATTTATTTCAATTATAGGATAACTACAACTTTTTATATCTTAATTTTAAATTTCTAATAGAAAAATATATTTTCAAGACAACAACTTAATACATAAGAAGTATCTCTTTTCCCCTAAAAATCTGATACTACTAATATAAATTTGTTTTAATATATAATAAATCATATATAAAATTATAGAAATTATGATAAATTATTAAAATAACCTAAAATCATGGAAAATAGGACAAATCAACAAACATCAAATTAAATTCTTAAATAATAGTATAGATTTTTTACATGTTAATATTAAATTTTATAATAGAAAAATATATTTTCAAGATAACAACATAATACATAAGAATTAAATTATTTTCTAAAACATTATTATTATGGGCAAAAACATTTTATAAAAACATTTAATTTTTGTTTAACTTAAATATGGGTATTACTTGCCGATAAAATATTATTTACTTAATGCAATAATTTCATGAGATTTGTTAAGACTTTTGTCCAATCTAATTTTAAGAGTTTGAATATTTCTTTCTTTTCAATAATTTATAATAGGGAAGGCCTGTCCTGAGATTGTGTATTTCGTGTTTTGTTTTTGGCTTTGCGAATATTGGCTACTAATAAGTGATTTCCTATTCGTTCATCATTGTTTGGTTGTTAAACTGATCATCAGACCTTTACGCAGAAAATGATGAAGAGATAAAACTATTGTACATACTAAATGTAATCGTCCTATCATCATCTAACTCACTACTAAAAGGGGGATACGAAGCTCAACTAGAGTGTCCACGACTTCACAAATAATCAGCCAATGGGGAGCTCCGATTTTGGCACGTCAGATATGAAGTTCTCAGGCATTTGGGCTTCAACACTTTTGGCCCATTTAAGAATACAAACAGGAGGCCCGTCCATTGAAGCCAAAAGCTCTGACTTTCGTTTCGGTTTCTTCTTCCTGTTCTTAGACATAACCTGCGTTTCATCCATTCTCAGATTTGTAACTAATAGCAATAAAATCCCTTCCCCCTACTTACTTCTAATCAATTCCATCCAGTCTCTTAATTCTAATTAATGGCTTCGTTTGGTTTTCCCCCTCCGATGACCTATAAAGAACCCTTGATTTTTATCACGATTTGCATCAGAAATTGTTTTACAAATCCACTTATTATACTGATGAAGATTAACGGTTCTCCCGAATCAGTGAAACTCAACGGCGAAGCTGCTGTCTCATCAATTCCGGTGACCTCCGGCGCTTCGAAAGATGTCTCCTCCGGCGATGTCGGATTGATGAAATCGAAAGTTCCTGGCGCCGCTTCATCCACTCCGGTCAAACCAACCAGAAAACTCGGTGCTTCTCCCGGCCTCAAGATCGGCGTCGCTGGAAAACCCCAACTTCCCTCACGTGCCAAAGGCAAAGCTATCGTTTCTGACGACCTAGAGGAGGTGATTCCATTCAAGAACTTGACACTGGGTCCTCATGAGGGCGTGTTACGATTCAGGCTGATTCACTTCTGGGAAGCGTGGAATACGTTGACGAAGGTCCTTATTGGCCTTAAATTGCTTCTCATCGATGAAGAGGTATACCTTTTCATTTGATGGTTAATACTCTATTTTCGTTTGTGTTTACTCTTTTTTTTTGTTTAGAAAATATAAAGTGAAAATCTGGAAGTGTATCGTAAGATAGGGTTTGAAACTTTGTGGGTTTTGCTTCTTCTCTGAGTTATTTACCCATGTTTTCTCACCAGCAATATTAATTAGGTTTCCGTGAACTAGCTTAGTTGCTAGGTTAATATGAGTTTGTTCTTCAACTTCCTACTTTTTTTTTGGGTTTCTTTGAGATTTCGTTTAGTTGGTTCTTTTGTCTATCTGAGAAACTACCTGAGAATTACAGATTAGACCATGAATGTCGAGATTAGTCTGTGTTTGATGCTCTGTTTTGTAATATACTCAATCATGCGCTGAATTCTTCTTTTATGCATTCAGCTACTTAATTGATCGATTTATCTGACGAGATTTTTAAGTCTGTAGCTTTAGGGAGATGGAGATGTGAAGCAGATGATTACTCTCTGTTACAGTTCAACGATGCTGGTGGCTTTAATGATTTAGTTACAGGGGAGATCAGTGATATGCAAAAGATAGATGTGAATGAGAGGATAACAATACTTGAGCGGCTTAACCCAACTCCTAGACCAACCACGTATGTGCTCATATTTTATCTTGCGGTTTTAAGTTTTTTTAAAAGAACAGTATGATGAACTGGTTGTTATGTCTTTTTCCAGGTCTCCTTACATTGAAGACAGATGGAGTTTTGAGTGGTTTGGATCCAACACTCCTGGGTCACTTGCTGCTCGTGTCATATCCGACTTAGTCTTCTTTCCACTGTGTCCCCTTTCTCATGAATATACACAAAAAAAAAACATTTTTAGGTATTGCTCTTTCTCTGTTTGGGACTGTGGCAGGAGCTTTCCTTCTTCATTTGTGAGTCTATCAAGTATGTACATTGTCATTAAATATGCTAGCACTAGGGCCACCGCCAACGTTAAGCTGCTAAACATGGTATATATATTACTTCTCCTAGATATGTATAAGCAGACTCAGAAGAATAAAGAAGTTATTTGTCTATTTAGGTAGAAAACAAAGTCATCTTGACGTCGAAATAGACAGTAGAAGGGCCTTTAAGAATGAGGGAAGAGTATCTAGAGGGAATGCTAGAGTCGCCAACTGTTATTGAAGAAGCCGTTCCTGAACAGCTTAGAGGTTTATTGGGTCAAGCTACCACGAAGTTGCAGCAGCTTCCTGAACCTGTTAAGGACACTCTTGCTAATGGTCTAAGGATTCCACTTGGTAAGCCTTAATAATAAGCCACATTTTCAACATTTTTTACCCTCACATGTTAACATTGTTGGGATTTCAGGTGGATCTTACCAGAGATTCTTCATGATATCTTATCTAGACGACGAGATTCTTGTGAGTTCATGAACTGTTATGCTCTTAGAAGTTTAAAAAAAAACTTGCAGAGAAGCTTACTTAACATGAAACGTTGTTTTTTTTTGTTGTTGTACAGATTGTAAGAGATACTCTGGGTGTGCCTGAAGTTCTTACCAGGGTGGAAACATCGTCTTCATCAAGCGTTGTAGAGAATCTTGAATACAACAGTTAAAATGAACAGATCCTTATGTTACTCTGTTATTTATGTAAATGTTAATCAAACTCAATACAACTTACTATATCTCCAGACACACAAATATATTGTTTCATTATCCGTTATGTATGGAAACTAGAAGGTTCTTAAAGACTATTTTCTAAAGTATCGTAGCGTTGGTGCTCATTAGAATATATAGGAACATGCATGTGAGAAATTAAACGAAGTAATTCAAATTAGAGAGTCAAAACCAGAACCAAGGATTGAAAAAAAAAGAAGTTGATGGAATATAAGAGGAAACAAAGTAAGAGGACACATCAAATAAAACAGTCAAATGATTGGTTTGGACACAGGAAACCGATTTGTAGTGAAGATTTTACAAATTACCATTTTTATATAATAATCACTTTATTACAATAATGTATTCATGTTTTAAAGTATTGTTTGGAACTCATACCTTAACTCTAAATAGGAAGAAGGTAGAAGTGTATAACAAGTTCTGAAGCCAAAATAATGTTGAACTGAATTGTAAATTAAACAATTTTTTAAATAAAAGCTAAATAACAAAGATAAAAGAGTACATAGAGTATAACAAAAAAAATTTTTTGACCAAGTGGATTATAACAAAAGTTAAATAAATTTATCACCGTTCTATATATGATGCCAAAATAAAATTATAACAACAAGTAAGTATTTCGTTTGACATTTATTTTATCTACATAAAACTTAAGATTACAATTTTTTTTTTATAAAATAATAAATAAAAAAATTGTGAGTTCTTATTATTCCAACTCTTTTAGACAAAAACCTATTAATAAATAAAAATAAATTTGCTTAACAATTTATATTTTATAATCGGTTCCAATATATATATATATATATATAGATCACCGGAGATATAATAAAATTGAATATGAAAAATATAAATTTAATAAAAAAACTAAATATAACAAATATATATATTCAAGTAAATTTATCTTATTATTTTTTTACTCTGGAAATGATGAAATGTGAGGGTTACATGCAAATGCTTAAACATCTAAAGCTTCCTAAAAGAGTTCCATTGGACGTTTTTGATGGGTATCTAATTTGTTAAAAAGTTAAACATAATGAAAAGATATGGAAGAGAAACATATGAATTTATTCAAACCTAANAAATGCTTAAACATCTAAAGCTTCCTAAAAGAGTTCCATTGGACGTTTTTGATGGGTATCTAATTTGTTAAAAAGTTAAACATAATGAAAAGATATGGAAGAGAAACATATGAATTTATTCAAACCTAATCTCACAAGATACTCTTAAAAACCAGTATGTTGGCATTTTCTGATTGAACAAAAAAAAATAAATTAAACACTGAACTGCTATTTCACATATTATTCTTTAACATTAAAAACTCCAAATGGATTTTTCCATCAGTGGAAAGGCTCTAATGGCCTTTCATAAATTACAAAAAAGCATGAAATAATATAACACGTTGAAAAGTTTCAAGTTTGTTCATTTTCCGAGGTATTAATCATTTTCATATAGTCATGTTAAGTTTCATTCTCTTTTTTTTCTATGACATTTTATTATATGTAATAGCATATTGAATATCCTATGTGATATGAACCTAACCAACTCAGAATTCATAAGTTTCTATACGGCTAAAGGGATGTACACAATTCTTCTGAAGTCATTTGAATTCCAGAACCTCTTGAATTCCATGTCAGTTTTGTCACTATTTTAACCACAATACCATCCATTTTGGGTCAGCTCGCGTACCATTACATGGCATTAAGTTCAAGTGAATTGAATCTTCTTTTACCGGTAAAAAGGTTCTTTTTTATTTTAAGAGTGTGGACCCGGACAGAGTCGATCCATCTCTCAAGTTAGCTATGGAGAATCTCATATGAATTAAGGAGAAAATAAATATTTCCAAACTCAGTACTGATTTTAAAATCAAAATCAAAATTTAAATTATTTATGAATCTAAATTTTTTTATAGTGAGAACTTAAATAGGTAAAACTGAGAAACTTTTCTTTATAATAGTATTAAAAAAAAATTCAACCAAACAACCCGGGCGTAGCCCGGGAAATGGATCTAGTACTCATAAAATTCCCAGTTAACACATGTTAAAAGACAAAAAAAAAACATCCAGAAGTTCCTTTGGATCATTCTATATTACGCTGTCAAACCTCAGATCTGTTGTCCCCATTTTTGTTGTCTTCCTACTGATATTTTGATCGAAAAAAAATCTTGATGAAAACTTTGCGGAGAACTGAGATAGCATCTGTTTGGTCCTCGTAATCATGCTTAATTTCTCCATTAATCATTCAAAACTTAATCATCAAATTCAAATATCTTTCATCTAGTGACCCACTGAAAAGAGTACTAATAATATAAAATTTACAAAAGTGAGCTTTGACGTGTGAGCGCAAAAAGAAAAATCTATAGGCCAAGTTTACACTAAAAAAAGCCATCAAAATAATATGATAAATGTGAGAGATTCCAGAATGCCACCTATAAAGAGAAGCTTCCTTATAGTAAGAAGATTGTTTTCAAACATCCCCTTGCACAAAAAAAAATCTGAAAATTAGAATCTCACACAAAGCCTTAACACAATATCTGTTCAGAATGATCTTTCTACATAAATCAAAGTAGATATCCAGAGATGTGGCTGAAACTAACTTACTTGGAGCTCATGGTTTCAGTTTTGATTTACACCCTTCATTATTGTCAAACACACAACATATGACATGGATTTCGGCTTGTCTCCAGCTACTATTCCAGCCTGATTATCAATGGAAATTTAACTGAAGTACAACTTTACAGACTAAGAGGGTAAAGTACAAAAGAATTTTAAAGATGAAATGCAGTCACAGGAACAGCAATTTTGTTCTTGGGGTGCTCGTTCTTGAAAGTCTTCCGGGAATTCCCTTCAGATCACAAAAAGAAACAAAGCCAGTACTAACACATAAAGCTTAGCTAAAAAAAAACGGAAATCAAAACAAAAAACATAACCACCAATCTGAAAGGAAAAATAATCAAACAAATATAATCTGAACTATTATCAGATGCTTTTTTGAACTCAGGATACCACCAACGTGATTGAGATCAAATGTGAGGTATGGTTGGACAATTGGGTGGGGTGGGAGAATGAGATCAGCGATTAAGGGAATGAAACCAAACAGAAGGGGGAAAGTAAGAATATGTTTATGTAGAAAGGGGAGATTTTTTTGGTCATGTGTGAACCGATTATATATATGATGTAAAACGGTTGGTTTGGGCAACCATTGTAAGTTTTGGTATTTAAAAGCTTTATACAAAAGTAAAATGAATTGAAGATTGGTGTTTACAATGAAACGGCAGTCTTAACGTGTCTATAGACTGATAGCTGTTTACCACTTTGGATATGCAAATAACTAATACATCACTCTGTTTCTGAATCCCCGCCATACACGCCACCCAAATCACCTTACTCTGAACACTAAGAAAGACTGGTTTCCATACCAGATTAGCATCATTCTTCAAACTTGGTTTTAAATATTACTAAAAAGGATCCTGCCACAGCAAGAAAACCCATGGTATGTTTATGTCTGAAGTGAGTTCTGGTGAAAGAGTGGACAAACTATAATAGCTCTTACACTTTTAGAGAAATGATCCATTGATTCCAAATTCAAGCACCTAAAAACTATCTCCGTTGTGGTCTTGGAAGCTAGAGACTCCTCAGCATAACTAATCAGCTTTCCATAGTTTTGTGGCTGGGTCTGTGCAGTAACACCTTCTTTACACATGAGTTCTAAGGTAATGGTCATGTTTGATTTGGTGATAATCTGCATTGTTGATCAGTACAGATTAATCAATAGCAAGCTTAGCACTAAAATGAGATCCTACCCCAAATTAAAATAAATTAAAGAAGGTCCAGCAGGGGTTAGATACCTCAGACAATGTACATGTTGTCTCGCCGAGAAACTGCTGCTCGTCGAGCTTCAGCATCTGAAATGAAACTCTCCAATCATATAGTGTAACACTTTTTTAAGTGGGAAAAGGGAACACGAGAGCACCTAATGAGATTCTCTGCATATACCTCCTCCCTCGAGTTTTGAAACTGAGTGTCAGTATATACACACGAAACATGTGCAGAAGAAGAAGGAAGGTCATAAAGTGAGAAACTTTATATCATCTCCTCAAGTCACTTATAACTATAGGCAACTTACAGCAATGTCTGCACAACCTCGAACTGATAAGAGAATTCAAAACAACTCCACTTTGGAAGAGTTCAAAAAGTGTTCCATCTTTTCCTTTCGTACAAACAACCACCATTGCATTTCTCTGCATCTCATAACCCAATGTATATACAATGTTTTAAAAAGAAAAAAATCCCTTTACGACAACATTTGACAACCACTTTAACAAAATATAGTGTTAAAAAATTCATAAAATTACCAGATATCTCCTTCCGGTATGAAAAAGAGGTGGCGGCGTGGCGTCAACACGTAAGAGAGGATGCCCTCCCAGCCATGGAAATGGCGGAGACGATCTCAACGACATATAAAACCACGATGAGAGCCAGAACTCAAGGCAACCAGAGGAAGGCGATGAAGAAAGTCACAATTCCACATAGCCACCGATATACACAGAAGGTACGACGTGAATCCCGACGGAGATATATGAGCCATTGAAGGTTACCGACTTCTCACCATCGACGAATCCAGGAAGTCATCGGAGAGAGAAATCGGCATCGACTGAGAACAAAGGAGGCTCAGGACAGAGATGAGAGATCGTAGAAAGTCATGGAATCTTGATCTCTTTGGCTTCTCATCGTTAAAAATCGATTAGAAATTCGGACCCAAAACCAAACCTGGTTTCCAATGTGAAAACCGAATCCGACGTGTATGATTGAAGGACTGTTATTGGTTGAATATTTCTGTCGACGTGGACAATGGGAGAAGCCTCAAATAAGAGCTTTTAATATAGTGTGATATACAAAAAGTATAAAAATCAAGTATATCCATTACGAATTCCTTACACAACATTGAGACTGAAAAAAAGTTTATAGAATTCTCAAAAAAACAAAACAGCTTTGAAGAAATTAATTTAATTAACTTAAACTAGGTGCTTTACCCGCACTTGCGGGCATAATTCTCTTATGAATATTTATTAGTTGATGTTTCATTAATTAAAAAATCAACATAATAAGTTATTATTTATGTTTTCAAAAGTACAAATAAAACATCAAATAATTATCAATGACAAAACTCAAACATCAGAAATATTCAAAAGAATATATTTCTATAGTTATTTTGCTTGATTTATATTTAATTATAGTATTTATACGAATATTTTACTTAATTTATATTTGATTATAATTTTTTATATTTTAATTTTAAATTTGTTAATAGAAAAACATATTTTCAAGATAACAATATAATGCATAAGTTATTATTATTATTATTTTTTGAACGACAATGCATAAGTTATTTATTTTCTGAAAATATAATATGATAAATTTGATTAATTCTATAATAATTATAATGTCATACAATTTAAATTGCCTAAAATCATGGAGAATTTAATGAATCAGCAAATTCACTTCTTAAATAATTTTTCTTGAGTGATTATTTATATTTGATTAATAATAGATAATTTTCTATTTTAATTTTAAATTATATAATATAAAAAATATTTTCAAGATAACAACATAATACATAAGAATTACCTTATTGTCTAAAATGTATACTATTATTAGTGTAAATTTATTTTAATTATAGGATAATTACAACTTTTTATATCTTAATTTTAAATTTCTAATAGAAAATATATTTTCAAGACAACAACTTAATACATAAGAAGTATTTTTTTCCCTAAAAATCTGATACTACTAATATAAATTGGTTTTAATATAAAATAAATTATATATAAAATTATAGAAATTATGATAAATTCTTAAAATAACCTAAAATCATGGAAAATAGGACAAATCAACAAACATCAAATTAACTTCTTAAATAATAGTATAGATTTTTTACATGTTAATTTTAAATTTTATAATAGAAAAATATATTTTCAAGATAACAACATAATACAATTAACTTATTTTCTAAAATATCATATTATTAATATAAATTAATTTTAATTATATAATCAATAATAAACCAAATTAGAGAAATTATAATAAATGATCAAAATTATCTAGAATCATGGAAACAAATCAACATATTCACTTTTAAAATAATAGTATAGATTGATAATTTGTATTTAATTATTAATAATATAAAATTTATTTCTTAATTTTAATTTTAATAATGCGAAATTATATTTTCAACATAACAACATAATACATAAGAATTATCTTATTTTAGAAAAATATAAAATTATTAGTATAAAGTCATTTTAGTTATATAATAAATAAATCATTTTTATATATTAATTTAAAATTTAATTTTTATATATCAATATATATATTTCTAGATAACAACATAATTCACAAGAATTATCTTAGTTACTAAAAATATGATATATTTATATAAATTCGTTTTATTTATAAATAAAATCTGTATAAATATTAAAAATATGAGATATAAACAAAATTACCTAAACTTAATTATTAATAATATAATTTTTATTTCTTAACTTAAATTTTATTAATGAAAAATAATATTTTCAACATAACAACATAATACATAAGAATTATCTTATTTAGAAAAATATAAAATTATTACTATAAAGTCGTTTTAGCTATATAATAAATAAATCATTTTTATATCTTAATTTAAAATTTAATTTTTTATATATAAATAAATATATATATATATATATATATATATATATATATATATATATATATATTTCTAGATAACAACATAATTCATAAGAATTATCTTATTTACTAAAAATATGATATATTCATATAAATTCGTTTTATTTATAAATAAAATCTGTATAAATATTATAAATATGATATATAAACAAAATTACCTAAACTTATGGGGAACATGACAACTAAGCAAATTTACTTTTTAAATAATAATATAGATAAACATTAGGTTGACAAAAAAAATTAAAATAAACATTAAGAGAAAATTCACAGAAACATTTCTTGTTTTAAAAAAAAAAAAAAATTGGCCAACTCTAACTGTTATTTCAAATGATTTACTAATCAAAAGCTATATTAACATAAGGCCTTATGTTGTACCAAAAAAAAGTCATTCAGATAATCTTGTGTTGTCTTTATTATTACTTGACTTCCAAGTCTAAGATAAGTGTGCAACGTTATCAGGTTTCACTAAAACCACGCAGGAAAGTCTAGAGAAAGATTAGAAACTAAACCACTCTGGTTCGTATCTGTAATTAATCGTTTTTACATAACCGCCAAGAATCCTTTCCCTTATCTTCTCCTAGCTTGAGAAACACCTGAACACTGCGGCACATTGGTCTTAAGATGCAATCACTGTTGTTTTTGACAAAGCTAAGAGGAAAAAAATTGCCTCATCATTCTCATCAACAGTGTGACTCGTTGGGTGGTAACATTTCTCATGAAGTTACAGCCTTACTGACAGTAGATTGCTTGATCGATATGAGAAGGAATTGGTTTGATTTCAGTGCCAAGTTCTTGCTCAGTCTGATACCTGTTTTCAAAACATATGATAAATGACTGAGAAAACAAAAACAAAAACAGAAACATGAAAAAAGACACGATTAGAACATTGGAGAGGAGGAGGGACTTACATTTTGAAACGGTCCTCATATGTTACCAAATTCACAGCCAACCCAAGATGTCCAAACCGTCCTGATCGGCCGACCTGAACATTTTCACAGCATGAGTTAAGAGAAGCTAGATATTAACGAGGTTGCACAAGAGAAGCTAGCTAAAAAAAAAAGAGGTTTTGTTTCAACCTATCCTGTGTAGATACGACTCAGAAGTCCTCGGAAAATCGAAGTTAATTACTACATTCACAGCTTGAATATCAATTCCACGAGTAAACAGATCTGGACTAGTCATTTTTTCAGTATTCGTCATCATCTACACATGATCACTGTTCAAAGTATATGTTAAGGTGGATTGTTTTAGACATCTGACCTTCGAGAAAAGTGTGTTGAGGCAGTGAACCTTCTGTCTCTCTTCAACAAAAGCGTAATAATGTGTGACACCCATAAGCGTGAGTTGATCCATGAGATTGATAATGTATGGCTTCCGCAAATGTCTATCCTTAAAAGCCTTCACAGTGACAGGAAATGTAGCTGAAAACATCAAAACTGGCGATTCTGTGGCAGAAAATTTGTATCAATTCCTCTAGAGAAGGTTTGTCGGACTGGTGAGATAATTTGCAAGGAGTAAGAAATATGGAAGAAAGAACATTAAAACTGACTACAGTAAGTGGTAAGTATAACAATGTAATTTATATAGAGTAGGATGCAATCAGTTTTTTCTTCACGACTTTAGCAATAAATCACAACACAAAGATAGGGAAAATGAGCATTTAATTCCCCAAGTATTTGAAATCGGCAATTTTAGTACTCAAATATTGCTCGCGCAGAATTATTCCCCAACTAATAATTGATTGGGCGAAATTAGGAACGAAATAGTCAACCGTTAACTGGTTAACGGAAAAATAACGGTTTCCGTCAACTTTTTAACGGTTGACTATTTCGTTCCTAATTTCATACAGTCAACTATTAGTTGGAGAATAATTCTGCGCAAGAAATACTTGAGTATTTAATTTGCCGATTTGAAAATACTTGAGGAATTTAAAAAATCAATATTTTTTAAAAAAAATATATAATTTAAAAGATTTTCAAGTCAGATACAATCAAATATTTGAGATTTTTACTTTTTGAAAGAGATTTTTGAGCTTTTACAATAACATGTACAATAATAAAAATAGTTATAATTGCAGTTTATTGTTGATGTACTTCATGTTTATAAAATCACATATGGATGATTTCATATCATTTACGGAATCATATGTTGTAAATTAGATCTCTACTTTAGACTAGGGATGACAAAAAAATATCCAACCGAATGAAACCGAACCAAACTGAACCGAGTTAAACCGAACCGAGAAAACAATGTGCTTTGTTATTATTTGAAAACTAAAGTCTCTATTAACTTTATACAATATACTTAAATCCTAACACTAACGATTAACTTTATTAATGTTTTTTTTAAAAAAAAAATCTATTTACTTTAGTTAATTTGGTTTGATTGTGTTCTTATAAAAAAATGGTGATTTTCAGATTTTTTTTTCAGTTTTATATTATATTTAATTTACATAAAACAAATTTTTTATTAAAATAACTAAACTCAAGGAAAACAATTAAACCAAACTGAAACTGATCCAAACCAAACTAATTATGGTTTACTTTAGATGGAAAATTTCGAGAACTGTATTAACCAAATCGAACCGAACTGAACCGAAAATAACCAAAGTTTCTACTCCTACTTTAAACAATCATATGTAGTTACCTCTACTTTAGACTATCATATATTGTACATCATCAATGCAATGCAATGCGTTATCTTATTTTATTTTCTTTTGTAAAACTCCAAAATCCATTTTCAGAAAAAGGTATCTTGTATATTTGTTCCGTTGTATATTTGTTAAAATTGAGAATCTTCTTAATTTGAAATTATTTTAAAAAATCATCTTAAGTTATTTTATAAACATGAAATATATCAACAATAAACTGCAACTATAATTATTTTTATTATTGTACATGTCATTGTAAAAACTCAAAAATCTTTTTTAAAAAGTAAAAATCTCGTATATTAATTGTGTCTGACTTGAATTTTTTTAAATTATATATATTTTTAAAAAATATTGAGGTTTTAAATTTCTCAAGTATTTTCAATCGGCAAATTAAATACTCGAATTATTCCTCAACTAATAGTTGACTGTGTGAAATTAGGAATGAAATTTTCATCCGTTAAAAAGTTGACGGAAACCGTTATTTTTCTGTTAACTAGTTAACGGTTGACTATTTCGTTCCTAATTTAACGCAGTCAACTATTAGTTGGCGAATAATTCTGCGCGAGCAATACTTGAGTATTAAAACTGCCGATTTCAAATACTTGGGGAATTAAATGTGCATTTTCCCCACAAAAATATGGTACAAGAGAGCTCACCTCATCCATCACAAGCATCGTACAGTCTTTCAAAACACAAACTCCCTTTTTTGGTAAGATCCAATATTCTTCCAGGAGTTCCAACCAGAAGATGCACAGACATGTTTTTGAAAATATATAACTGTAGTTTAATAATGCAATAATTTTGTATAATTTATATCGGTATGAGTAAGATAGTTATTTTTTTGTATTTGTAAAAATATTTTATGGTAGTTTAAAAAAAGGAATGATGGATTAAAAAGTTTAAAGTGGTATAGATTTATATTCGAACACAATGAAAAACATAATAGCTGGGTTTTTAAATGATTGAGCTTGAAATTCGATGGTCCTTGAGACTCAATTTAGGTCTGAAACTGGAATAGGCATTTACTCTTTTCGTCGTCTTCAGAAGTGTGACAAGCTCTTGCAGTTTTTTGTTTGATTGCGTTTTTTCGTCTGTCAGGTTGTGAAATTATAGATGTTCTATAGCGGCATGGAAGAGAGATTTGCTCACCTCAGTTAGCATATTTAGAGTTTTGGCTTATTGTTTGGAGATTTGAGAGTCTCTCCTTTCTACGTGTATTAATGTATATTCTGCAGTATTTTATTGCTTTTGCTTTCAGTCATATACTGTATATATAAATTAAGTTTTTTATAGGGAAATTGCACCTACTGACAATGAAAAAATCCAAAATTAACTAACTAACTAAAATCCTATTCTCTCTCCTCTTCTTTCTTCCTATCTCTCTCTAACTTCTCTCTAGAAAACTAATTATTTTTTTTTGTGTGGTTATTTCACAAATAACCCCTTTTTTATATGGAGAAGAAACAACAGAGGGTTGTTTGAACATTATGAAGAACACCAATGACAGCGACAGGAAAAACAAAACCCAGGGTTCTATGAAAGTGACACATTATCTTATATTAGCAAAACACCATGAATTCCGTAAATAAATATAATCAAGAAGATGGAGATGATGACTGATATTTCATATTTTTAATGAGTTTTAGATTCACATTTTAGCTTATTATGGTCATGAGGTTGCATATTAGGTGTATATATTGCATTAGATTGTTCATTTGCATATAACAGGGTCTAGATTGCACATTTGGAAGTTTTGGGCGACATTGGAAGGTTATTTCTGCAATTTACAAAGGTTCAGGGGCCGTTTTATAAAGAA